ACATGTTGATACAGCAAACCGTTTCCAGTAGAGTTAAATCAGCCTTTAATCTTTCAGAGGTCATTAAATTGAATATCAATTAATTGCATAACAATAGCATCTATGCCCTGGGATAAACTCGAGCATTAACTAAAGCCATAGGTGTGCGCACGGGGTGTGCCGGTTGTGTCTGGGCACACCTTAATCCCCGCAGCACGCCTATGGATTGAGACCGGCAGGGGAGATCTCAGAATCTCCCCTGTCGGCTAATGCAGAGCCGGCACTATCCGAGCGCCGGCTCTGCTCTAAGCCTACATGGGCCAGTGGGGAAATTAAAGATCTACCTCACCAGCCCACATCAGCATGGAGGGAGGCAGGCAGGGCCGGACTGGGGATACAAAGCAGCCCTGGAGAAAAAATATCTATGCCAGCCCCATTAGTCATTGAGCCACGTATTGTCACATGTAATATGTACGGCTATGTCTTGCCACCCCAGATATTGTTTTATATATATATATATATATATATATATATATATATATCATCTGGGGTGGCAAGACAGATAATATATGATTGAGTCATATATAAATACATATATTATCTGTCTTGCCACCCCAGATGAGATAGATATTTGTATATAAATATATATATAATATATGTATTTGTAAAATATATGTATTTATATATGACTCAATCATCTGGGGTGGCAAGACATATTATTGGTCAATATATATATATATATATATATATATATATATATTTTTTTTTTAAATATAAAATATTCCTTTCAGAGTCAAACATTTAATTATACAGTAAGCATACTCACATGCAGACACAGACAATCTCACTGACATACGCAAGCTCATTGATACACAAAGTCATAGACAAACATACTCACTGATATATATAAGCTCATTGACATAAATACACAAGTATACAGATGCACACAAATAGGCTCACTGACAGACAATCTCACTGACATGCACAGACAAGCTTATTGGCATACACACACACAAATGTAGTACATACTTACTACAGACAAGCTCTCACACACACACAAGCTCACTCACTAGAATGCACACACAAGCTCACTCACTAGCAGGCACACACACAAGCTCTCTCACTAGCAGACACATACACACAGACAAGCTCACTCACTAGCAGGCACACACACACACACACAGACAAGCTCACTCACTAGCAGACACACGCTGCTCACTCACTAGCAGGCACACACACACACACAAGCTCTCTCACTAGCAGACACACACACACACAGCTCTCTCACCAGCAGGCACACACACAAGCTCTCTCACTAGCAGACACACACACACAGACAAGCTCACTCACTAGCCGGCACACACACACACACAGACAGGGCTGGCGCCACCGTTAGGTGAACTAGGCATTCGCCTAGGGCGCCGGCCTGCTGGGGGCGCCCACCGGGAATTTCCTGGTGGGCTCACCCTGTTTTGGGCCTGCAGCGCTGGGCGTGCGGCTCTAGAGCCGCCCCCCCCTCAGCACCGGGCCGCTCCTCCAGGCACCCGAAGGTGGGGGCGCCCAGAAGAGCCCTGTCACAGTATGGCAGAGCAGGCACCTTCTTACCTTGATGACAGGTGCCTGCTCTGCCATCAAATTCCGGTGACCAGAGGAGAGGGGGGAAGGAGAAGGCGCGAGGGAGGCTGTTCTTGCAGCCTCTCACTCCTCCCTCATGCGCCATCTGTGATGCCGTGAGCCGAAATATGACGTCATTCCGGCCCCAGCATACTAAACGGCGGGCGGGAGGAGTGAGGAGCTGCCCCACACTGGATCCTAGGGAGGTGAGCGTTTAAGTGTTTGTCAGTGAGTGTGCGTGTATGTCACTGATTGTCTGCCTGTGTGTGTCAGTGAGTGAGTGTATGTCTGTCACTGAGTGTGTGTGTGTGTAAGTGAGTGAGTGTATATCTGTCAGTGAGTGTGTGTCAGTGACTGAGTGGAGTGTATGTCTGTCAGTGAGTGTCTGTGTGAGTGTGTATGTCAGTGAGTGAATGTCAGTGAGTGTGTGTATGTCTCAGTAAGTGTCTGTGTGTTTGTCTGTCATTGAGTGTGTGTCAGTGAGTGAGTGTGTATGTGTGTGTGTCTGTCAGTGATTGAGTGTCTGCCGGTGAGCTTCTGTGTGTGTCAATAAGTGAGTGTATGTGTGACAGCATGTGTGTATCTGTCAGTGAGTGACAGGAAGGGGCGGCAAAATGGATCTTTGCTTAGGACGGCAAAAATCCTTGCCCCAGCCCTGCACACAGACAAGCTCACTCACTAGCAGGCACACACACACACACACACACACACACACACAGAGTATCAAGCTTACTTCACTAGCAGGTGTGCACACACACACAGACAAGCTCACTGCTAGCAGGCACACACACACACAGACACAGACAAGCTTACTCACTGGCAGACACACACACACAGACACACAGACAAGCTCACTCACTAGCAGACACACACACACACACAGACAAGCTCACTCACTGGCAGACACACACACACAGACAAGCTCACTCACACACACAGACACACATACAAGCTCACTCACTAGCAGACACACACACAGACAAGCTCACTCACACACACAGACACACAGACAAGCTCACTCACTAGCAGACACACACACACAGACAAGCTCACTCACTGGCAGACACACACACACAGACAAGCTCACTCACACACACAGACACACAGACAAGCTCACTCACTAGCAGACACACACACAGACAAGCTCACTCACACACAGACACACAGACACACACACACAGACAAGCTCACTCACTGGCAGACACACACACACACACACACACACAGACAAGCTCACTCACTAGCAGACACACACACAGACAAGCTCACTCACACACACACACACAGACAAGCTTGCTCACTCACTAGCAGACACAGACACACACACACACAATCACTGTCATGGCTGAAGCTTACCTGGTAGGTGAAGTTTCCCTTTTGTAGCCTCTTCCTTCCAGCGAGCAACGTGTGGGGGCGGGGCTTGCGCGGTGAGGCGGAGCTATGTTAAGGAGGCGGGGCTTGTGTGCAGAGGCGGGGCATGCGGCCGATATTAAGGTAAATTGTGCCGGGAGACTGACAGGGCTGATCAGGGCTGTCAGACCAGCCCCAGGTGCCGCGGCCCACCGGGAATTTTCCCGGTATCCCGGTGGGCCAGTGCGGCCCTGCACACACACACAGACAAGCTCACTCACTGGCAGACACACACACACACACACAGACAAGCTCACTCACTAGCAGGCACACAGACACAGACAAGCTCACTCACTAGCAGGCACACACAAGCTTACTCACTAGCAGACACACACACAGACAAGCTTACTCACTGGCAGACACACACACACACACACACACACAGACAAGCTCACTCACTAGCAGGCACACACAAGCTTACTCACTAGCAGACACACACACAGACAAGCTCACTCACTAGCAGACACACACAAACAGACAAGCTCACTCACTGGCAGACACACACACACACACACACAGACAAGCTCACTCACTGGCAGACACACACACACACACACACAGACAAGCTCACTCACACACACAGACACACAGACAAGCTCACTCACTAGCAGACACACACACACACACAGACAAGCTCACTCACACACACACACACACACACAGACAAGCTTGCTCACTCACTAGCAGACACAGACACACAGACACACAATCACTGTCCTGGCTGAAGCTTACCTGGTAGGTGAAGTTTCCCTTTTGTAGCCTCTTCCTTCCGGCGAGCAGCGTGTGGGGGGCGGGGCTTGCGCGGGGAGGCGGAGCTATGTTAAGGAGGCGGGGCTTGTGTGCGGAGGCGGGGCATGCGGCCGAAATTAAGGTAAATTGTGCCGGGAGACTGACAGGGCTGATCAGGGCTGTCAGACCGGCCCCAGGTGCCGCGGCCCACCGGGAATTTTCCCGGTATCCCGGTGGGCCAGTCCGGCCCTGTGTGTGTGTGTGTGAGAGTGTCTGCCTGTGTGTGTGAGAGTGTGCGACTGTCTGCCTCTGCGTGTGTGTGAGAGTGTGTGACTGTCTGACTGTGTGTGTATGTGACTGCCTGCCTGTGTGTGTATGTGACTGTCTGCCTGTGTGAGTGTGTGACTGCCTGTGTGTGAGTGTGGCTGTCTGCCTCTCTGTGTGTGTATGTCTTTGTGTGTGTGTGTGTGTGTGTGTGTGTGTGCATCTGCTAGTGAGTGAGTGAGCTTCTGTGTGTGTGTGTGTGTGTGCATCTGCTAGTGAGTGAGTGAGCTTCTGTGTGTGTGTGTGCGCGCATCTGCCAATGAGTGAGCTTGTGTGTGTGCATCTGCTAGTGAGTGAGTGAGCTTCTGTGTGTGTGTGTGCGCGCGCATCTTGTCAGTGTGCTTGTCTGTAGGCATCATGTGTGCATCTGCTAGTGAGGGAGCTTCTTGTCAGTGAGCTTGTCTGTAGGCATCATGTGTGTGTGTTAGTGAGCTTGTCTGAGCCTGTCTGTGGTGAGAATGTGTGTGCAGTGAGCTTGTCTGTAGTAAGCATGTGTGTGATCGTGAGCTTGTCTGTAGTGACCATGTGTGTGTCAGTGAGCTTGTTTATAGTGAGCATGTGTGTGTGTGTCAGTGAGCTTGTCTGTAGTGAATCTGTGTGTCAGTGAGCTCTTCTGTAGGGAGCATGTATGGGTCAATGGGCTTGTCTGTAGGGAGAGTGTGTGCACATCAGTGAGCTTGTCTGTAGTATGCTTGTGTGTGTATCAGAGTTTGTCTGTAGTAAATTTGTGTGTGTACCAGTAACCTTGGCTGTGTGTGTCATTGAGATTGTCTGTCAATGAGCCTATTTGTGTGCATCAGTAAGATTGTCTGTGTCTGCATGTGAGTATGCTTTACTGTATAATTTAATTACCCTGAAAGGACTAATATTTTGAATTAGTAAAAGAAATATACCAATAATATATATATATATATATATATATATATATATATAACACATAAAATAGCACAATGACTTATGGGGCTGGCATAGATTTTTTTCCAGGGCTGCTCCGTATCCCCAGTCCAGCCCGGCATTCAGCTGCCCTGAAGGTGTGCCCAATTTCTCCTTAAAATTGGTTCTGTTTTGTCAGATAGGATTAAAAAAAACTCCAAACTTGGATTCACTATTTATGAAATTTGGAGTACATCCACAAAACCACATAGTGTAAGGTGAATGTGATTGGCTAAAAAAACTCAGCCAATCACGTTGTTTCCTCTCTGTTACACAAGGGTTTAACCCCTTAACGCCGTTACGGCGTTCTATGCCGTTGCGGCTTTAAAGCCGTTGCGGCGGCATAGAACGCCGTAACGGCTTTCTGCCCCAGGGGATCGCAGCTACTTACCTCCGCTGCGTTCCTCTTCTGGAGGGCTGCCAGACCGCCCAGGCAGCCCTCCTCCGGCAAGTGAGGCCCCCGGGAGCCATGTGATCGCTCTCAAAGAGCGATCACATGGCCCCCTATAGCTGGCTATGGATCTGCCAGCAAGGGGACTGTCTGAAATGTCATACAGTCCCCCTGCTGGTGGGAAATGTAAAAAAATAAAATTAGACCTGTTTTAAAATAAATTAAATACATATATATATATATATATATATATATAAATACATATATATATATAAATACATATATATTCAAATATTACCATATCAGTGTTTTTATATTTGACATGATTGTAAATTGTCATTTATCAATATTACTTGATGATGAATCCTACTATGTCAATCTCAAGAGACTGGTTCTCATCCCTGAGCTTGTAGTTCCTCTTCCTAAAAATTAAACCAAAAAGCAGAATTTAACCTGTAGATCCTGCTCTCTACTGCCCTCTTCCAGTGATAAGTGACCATGCACTTTCAGAATTCAGCTTTTCAGTGAACTTTATAACCGTATTGATGCATGAAGCGCCACTCACATGTTGGGCAGTACATGTGACGTGCTGCCCTTGAAATCCTATTGTATTTGGACGCAGTCATTCAGGATTGATAGCCATGTTTAATACCGATGTGCTGCTGATTAATTAGGTTCAAACTTTAATAGATTATTCACTAAAGTGAGAATTCAAGGTGTAGGGAGGAAAAGGCAACATTTTCCTGAAATCACAGTTACTGAAAAACATGACACACGTTCCTGATGAGGTTAAAACCGAACCAAAGAACACCAACAGAAAAAAGCACCAACAAACTACAACGGACATGAGGAAGCTTCCTACAGGTGACTGTGGTGGTAACATGAATTGTGAAAAGGACAAATTACTTCTAAAAACAGTGAAATCCATTTCTGCCTTGAACTATGTAATCAGTACACAAAAAACACACTAATCAAATGGCAATGATGACCAGACATGGTTTATTATTTATAAAGCGCCAATATACGTACAACAGGTGGACTAATGAAAAGTTGCAACATAACAATGCGGATGTACAGGAACAGAACGTAACGAGGGCTGTGCTCAAGCAGGCTTACAATCTAATGGTCTGGGTCAGACGGTATAGAATGTGCAGAAACTGATCCATTTAAAAAAGTCAACACTATTTTTAAATCCTTTAGCTCTGTCAATAGTTAACCTATGGATTACCAAAGGAATGCACCGTACACTAAAATGACACTGCCACTGCATCCCATTCACAAAGTCTGAGCTAAAATTATTAAACACTTGCAGAGCAAATGAATCACTTGACAAAATAAATGAAATGTAAACAAAAAAATATGTAATTATACAAAAAATTATAGTGCTAGGAAAAAACAGCCATGTGCAATACAAACCTGGCAGACCAGCCGTGAAAAGTGGATTTTTTTTCCCCTTTAAGTAACTGATCTAATAAATTGGCTCTAGTTAGTGTGTTTAGAGAATATGAACTATATATGGTTAGTCACATGCTGTAGATTTTACACTGCAGATGAAATGCCATTGGCCTGTGTCATGTTAAAGCGTTTCCTTAGAAAATACATTTAAGAATGATTTATGCTATTTTAAGCTGCCATATCTAATGTAGTTCTGGACACATGCCCGGTGGAGAATAAAGGCCAAAAATAGCAAAGCATTCTATTTTTTTATTAACAAGAGTGAACGGTTTTGGTTAAGTCAGCACAGCAGTGCACTGTGGATATCCTTTTCTACACTGAGCATTCATTCACTGTCCCAGATATTAGAGTTAGACCTTCTCTGAATGGAAAGTAAGAATGCTAAAAAATACTAGGTCATGCCTTTAACTATGAGACTGTGAACATCTACAATCCACTGACTGGAAAACCTGGACAATTTAATCACAGAATTAAATGGATTGAAGTCAGGGCTCATGTATGAACTGGAGAACATATTATGTCTTTACTACTGTGTGGAACATATTACTAACGTTGTTACCTGAATATCAACCAAATAGCTACCATAATAGGTTTATTATACTATCACCCAAATATCTACCATAATAGGTCTATTATAGTATCACCCAAATATCTACCATAATAGGTCTATTATAGTATCACCCAAATATCTACCATAATAGGTTTATTATAGTATCACCCAGATATCTACCATAATAGGTCTATTATAGTATCACCCAAATATCTACCATAATAGGTTTATTATAGTATCACCCAAATATCTACCATAATAGGTCTATTATAGTATCACCCAAAAATCTACCATAATAGGTCTATTATAGTATCACCCAAATATCTACCATAATAGGTCTATTATAGTATCACCCAAATATCTACCATAATAGGTTTATTATAGTATCACCCAAATATCTACCATAATAGGTCTATTATAGTATTAACCAAATATCTACCATAATAGGTATATTATACTATCACCCAAATATCTACCATAATAGGTCTTTTATAGTATCACCCAAATATCTACCATAATAGGTCTATTATACTATCACCCAAATATCTACCATAATAGGTCTATTATAGTATCACCCAAATATCTACCATAATAGGTCTATTATACTATCACCCAAATATCTACCATAATAGGTCTATTATAGTATCACCCAAATATCTACCATAATAGGTCTATTATACTATCACCCAGATATCTACCATAATAGGTTTATTATAGTATCACCCAAATATCTACCACAATAGGTTTATTATAGTATCACCCAGATATCTACCATAATAGGTCTATTATAGTATCACCCAAATATCTACCATAATAGGTCTATTATACTATCACCCAAATATCTACCATAATAGGTCTATTATAGTATCACCCAAATATCTACCATAATAGGTCTATTATAGTATCACCCAAATATCTACCATAATAGGTCTATTATAGTATCACCCAAATATCTACCATAATAGGTCTATTATAGTATCACCCAAATATCTACCATAATAGGTCTATTATAGTATTAACCAAATATCTACCATAATAGGTCTATTATAGTATCACCCAAATATCTACCATAATAGGTCTATTATACTATCACCCAAATATCTACCATAATAGGTCTATTATAGTATCAACCAAATATCTACCATAATAGGTTTATTATAGTATCACCCAAATATCTACCATAATAGGTCTATTATAGTATTAACCAAATATCTACCATAAAAGGTCTATTATAGTATCACCCAGATATCTACCATAATAGGTCTATTATAGTATCACCCAGATATCTACCATAATAGGTTTATTATAGTATCACCCAGATATCTACCATAATAGGTCTATTATAGTATTAACCAAACATTTACCATAATAGGAATATTATAGTATCACCCAAATATCTACCATAACACCTTTATTATGGTATCCTCATAATAGGTTAATTATTATTATCAAAGCATTTTAATCAAAGGTTCTAACACAGGGAGTTTGAAATCACACCACGTATAATGAGTGTGCACCTAATAAAAAGCATGTGTACACTGAGTGTACCCCTGTTAAACTGACAAGTTCTGGCAATGTGCATCCAGATGAGAAGCACCATTTCAACATCCGTTGGAATAAGTACCAGAAAAGGATATCAGCATTTGTGAGGCTGGAGACCGGAGGATGGACCCTGACACACAAAAAGGATACAAGATAAGGGCAGATGTCATAGTGATTATTACTGGAGTTTCACATTTAAAATTTTTGTGTGTCAGGGTCCATTTTAAGCAAATAAAGACAAACTGATGACATTGCTGAAAAAGAGTGTTTCCAATTTGGCTTTCGTGGCCTAAAATTCTATTTTCATTTTTAATTCATGACATATTGGTCAGTGAATTATCCTGTAAGAGTTTGCAGACTTTAACAAATACCAATAGGGAGGCAAAACATCCATAGAAATTAAGAGCAAGCAGTAGTCAGGATTCCAGAATTTAAGCTAGAACAAAACTGAAATTCAGGGAACAAGAATAAATAAAATAATCCAGAATATTCAATATAGCATAGTTGAAACCAGAGTATGTGAATCACATAGAACCTTGATACAGTCAAGAACCACAAAGTGTAAAGTGAGCAGTGGACATATGTAAACAGTTACTTGGAGATATGGTATCCATGCATGTGCACAGATGATACTGTTGAAATCTGTGCATCACTAAGTAATGCAACAAGGTTTATGAATGCACCTAGAAGCAAGTGAGATGAGTGGCTCGTCACATGTCAACATTCTGTACAGAGTCAAATGACAAGGTAACATAAAATGACACATTTGTTAGATGGTCAGCATAATTTATGCGAGCAGAAACAGGTGAGATCAGGAAGGAGTGGAAACATTTATACAGGTACCATAACAACCGCCATGACCAAGACAAAAAGCAGTGCAAACACAGCTGAAGTGATAACAATTTGAACTAAATATCCTCTACTCCGTTTGATGCAGACACTCACGGGGCTTACACATCTACACACCTTCTGCATTTCTAGGCCCATGGACTCAATGTTACATATTATGAGTGTTATATATATATATATTTTAGAACAACTTGGTAGGTTTCATTCACGTCAACCACAGAACCCGAAACAGAATAAGAACGAATTTCACTTCCTTCATATTTATACAAATATTTAGATGAAGTGGAAAGGCAATACCTGTTCACAGAAAGATACCAGCATTTGATACTCCAGCACCATAAATATTCAATATTCCTAAAAACTCTGGACACCAAAGTAGTGCATAGTGTTTGCAAATTAATAAAATCTGCACCTGCACCAACCATATGGAATTCTGCATTTACCTCTAGATATTTTCAAATGCA